ACCTGTAAAGAAGAGAATTGCTTTTCATTTTATAGCTGGCAGAGCAGGACAAGACCTGTCTGTGGACACACATGAGTACTGCAGACCTTTGTCACTGCCCAGTTGGTTCGTTATGACATTAACAGTTTAGCCCTGTATCAGATGTTCACAACTGTAGAGAAACTATGCATGAGCTTCAAGGTGTCTATAGAACGTATTTTTCCTCAGATATCCTATTATTAAAGCTGCTCATGACAAGCTTAAAAATTTGTCGACATAACTTGAACCTTCTTCTTTCTCAACCTCAGACCTCTATTCCAAGTGTTTTCTAGGAATCAAGTTTTAATATTATACAAGTTATTCTTAAATTTTCAAAAATGGAGCTTTTCAATACCCCCGCCAAACTTCGTGCTGTTCCTCCTGTATTATCTGTCCTGATAAATAATGGGAAGTTGTGCACATGATACTGTTTTCAGGGTCTCCTTTCTGTGGCTTCTGTTGCCTGTGGTCAGCCATGGTCCAAAGATACTGGACGGGAATTTGACAAGTTACATGGTACAAATTGAGCACTGCTCTAAGTAGCATGGTAATCTTGTACCACTCACTGCATCTGACCAGGGGCATGAGTCACACCTCATCCCTAGTCTATCACACTGTGAGCTTTTCCTGCCTGTTGGCAGCTGCCTTGACTATGAGATGAGTTTTTATGGCAGAGAGCTTGGGTATGAGATTTGTACCTTGAGTTTCAGACATCCCCTGAGTCTTGGGGACCATTGTCCAGCTGCTGATCCCCCGGGACACCTGTGTAAAGTGGGGCACAAATAATGTGTACCTCAAAGAAGTCGACCAAGTTTGACGAGCACATGTTTTAAAAGTACTCACGAAACCAGTCAGTCCTCTAAACAAGGTGAACCATGGAACAGAGAGAGCCGCCTGAGTGCGACCCTCATATTTAAGGTCTTGCTACATCACTGACCATATGCTAGTGTGCGTGCTCTGCGTTACCTGTGTCAGCCCCCAAGAGGGCATGGCTGACATTTCCCCTATAATTCCCCTTTTAGTCTAAAAGAGGATTAAAACTTAACAGTGTAAATTATCTATTATAAACAATCATAAGGGTAAATTACATGAGGTTATAATAATCTACTAATGTCACATCTTAACTATAACTATCCCAACTAAACCTTAAAGTCATCCGAAAGAGATACCCAAGCTTGAACACCTCCTTCCAAACCCAGCCTTAAAGAATAGCAGACTAGGTGTAAACAGTGGGGAAAGGGGATGTAGTGTTCTCCATGCTACTTCCTGCTGAACTGGGATGACAGTGACAGCCTCGTGGGGTCCTGTGGGAAGAAATGTTAGTGTAATGAAAGTCCTGAATGTGTTATATCCAGTCCATGTTTGGTGGGAGGTGCCTGATTGAAGGTCCAGGTTGAAGTCCTTGTCTCTATTGAAGTTCTTGTGTTGATTGAAGTCAGTACCCGAAGTTCTGGCCAGAGTGTCAGCTGAAATAAGTAAGATGGATCCAGTGCAATTGAGGAGGTGTGGCCCATTTTCTTTCTGGAGCATCCAGGGGTTGCTGTCAAGCAGGTCTTCATTGGCTGTGTGGGACTCAAAAATAAATGTTAGCAGAGAAATATTTGCTTGTATATGTATGCATACCGGGAAAGGCAACCATGGGAAAATAAGAATTATGAAAGGATGTATACCTTGAGAGAAAAAGGCCAAGAAAAGACAAATGACAGTCCCTGATCTTTCCTCTATTCTGTATTACATCAATTGACTTCTTGATATAGTACAGAAACTCTGAAGTTTAACAAAGTGCTTGGATTTAGAGGAGGAAAGCCAAATCCACCTCTAAAGCCAGCATTGGTTTAATTGAATAGGGACTAGGAAATAAAGAGAAATAGAGTTCTCTGAGAGACAGCTGTAAAGTTTACCGTATGACATGTTCCTTTTGTTTGATGGTTATAGCTACCTTTTCTTCTTAAGTATCTACCCATGCAGTGTCCTTTGCCTTCAGGAGATGAGTTTTCCTGTGAAGATAAAAGAAAAACCCTTTCCTTTGGGAGGTTTCTATACAGTTTATGAGATACACCTTGGTA